CTCGAACCCGCGGGCTCAGGCAATCCACTCACCTCAGCCTCCCAAAGGCACGGAATTAAAGGCTGAGCCACCGAGCCCGGTGCCTGTTTGTTTTCAAGCCTTATTTTAGCTATAGAAATCCCCTGGGTTGGGAATACTAAAGGCAAGGAGAGAAGAAGGTAAAGATGTGAGTGCCTGTGCCCTACCGTGAGAGTGTGAAGTGCTGTCAGAGGGACCCCAAGGGCTCGTGAGAATGGGTGCTTGTGTTGGGCTCCTGGGTAGAGCGAGATCCCAGGTGGGATGCTCTGTGCACGACCCCATCTCATGCCTCTGCTCTGTCTTCACAGTACGCACCAGAGACTTCCCTTGGACTACCACGCTGTCCATGCTTTACATCGATAATCCTGTGAGTGCAAAATGACCTGTGAGATGTCAGTGCTGGCCTCGCTTGCCTTCTTTCTCTTTATGAAGTGCATATGTATTTTTTAATTTATTTTTAAAATTTATTTATTTTTGAGTTGGTGTCTCACTCTGTCACCCAGGCTGGAGTGCAGTGGCACGATCAGAGCTCACCACAGCCTTGACCTCCTGGGCTCAGGCAAACCATTTGCCTCAGACTCCTGAGTAGCTGGGACTACAGGTATATGCCACCAGGCCCAGCTATTTAAAAAAAATTTTTTTTTTGTAGAGATGAGGTCTCACTATGTTACCTAGGCTGGTTTTGAACTTCTAGGCCCAAGCGATCCTTTAACCTCAGCCTCCCAAAGTTCTGGGATTACAGGAGTGAGCCACCACACCCAGCGTCAAAGTAAAAAAACAAAAATAGATTTAGTTTTTTCTTTACAAGCAGAATTGAATCTATAAGATTAAAAACATTTTGAGATTTAGGTTTTCTGTTAACATGCATCATTTTATCTGGGTTTGGAAATTTTGCTTGCTGCCTTCTCTCCTCATTTTTAATCCTAGAAATGTCCTGTTCACTGAGTTATGCCACCCAGGATGAGGGATTAGTTTCTTATCACTAACAGTGGGGTTCCTCGTGTCACAGCTTAGTGTACATTACTAGAACGCCTAGTCTTTCACGTGACATTCTGGATATAAAAAGTCAGAATGAATCTCCTTCACTTATGATGGCAAGCAGAATGCTTAGTCTCTTGACAAAGGTGATGCTCTCCCTGGGAAGGTCTTCTGAAACTGATTCTAATAAGGTGCAAAATAGAAGAGTAACTTCAGGTCAGCTTCTACAGATCTGGAGAAACTTTTCACTCTTGACTAAATTCTCTAACTTCTCCCCCTTTTCAGAGGGTTCAAAGAGAAAACAAGTACAAAGAAGAAAAAAAGGCAACACACTTGTCCCCCCACCTTGTTTTGTCAACCATCCATTTTCCTAGTCTGCCATTGCATATTTATATAAAAGGCAAATTAAATGGCCTGTTCCCTTGGGGTATTTGGAAAACAAAAATGAAAACGTGAAAATATTTACACCAGATGGGGAATGCGTTCCTTATACAGATTATTGCTTGCTGCCTTCTCTCCTCATTTTTAATCCTAGAAATGTCCTGTTCACTGAGTTATGCCACCCAGGATGAGGGATTAGTTTCTTATCACTAACAGTGTGGGTTTCTCATGTCACAGCTTAGTGTACATTACCGGAACGCCTCATCTTTCACGTGGCATTACGTGGTAAGGAACTAGGAGCTTCTTCTTAGATTTACAGTTCAATTGTCTATGAACTTCTAGGTATAAGGAAAAGTTAGTTTAAAATTAGTCTTAATTGTTTTAAAACTCCTTATCTACTGAAGACCAAATGGCTTAATAGCCACATATCTCACAAATGAGGAAAAGGAGGAGGAGAAGGAGGAAGACCACATACAGCTATCTTCTATTTTCCGCCTAGAGAGAGCTCCTTCTTGGCAGCGCAGAGCAAGGCACCCTCGAGGTTGCCCAGAGAAGACAACGTGGGGTCTTTTGATGCTGTAGCAGGGGCAGGAAAGATGAATTCTCTCTTCTTAGACAACATGTGAGGAATCAGGACCCCTGAGGAATCAGGACGTCCCCACTGAGGAATCAGGACGGCTCAGCCACTGACCCCGGGGCAAAGCTTTGTGCGGCTGTTTAATTTGGGCTTTAGGGGATGAAGGGGAGGGAGGTGGGACTCAGCGTCCTGAGAGGAGGCAAAAATCTGAATTCAGAGCTTGGCCTTTGAAATAGGTCACCTTTCAGTGAGGGACCTATCTGGAGATCCCCAAGGTGTGTATTTCTCTGTGGTTATACCTGCTTATTTATTTCACCTTTAGGTGGGCACAGGCTTCAGTTTTACAGAAGATGACCATGGATATGCAGTTAATGAGGATGACGTGGCACGAGATTTATACAGGTAGGTTGCTTTGGCTTTCTCTTGGCTTTCTTCAGACTGAACAGTTTTCTGCCTCAGTATGAAAATTCTTCTAATGGTGGAATTATTATTGATTGATGCTTTGAAGGTGATTTTTGTTTGTTTGTTTGTTTTTATTGTATAGAGATGAGGTCTAGCTCCTGGCCTCAAGTGAGCCTCCTACCTCAGCCTTCCAAAGTGCTGGGGTTACAGGCATGAGCCAAATTTTCACATGCACACTCACAAGTCCATTTTCTACTTTGTTACATTAACATTGATAATTGTGCAAGTAACACGAAGAACTAAAATCTTAAAGCATAATTGTAAGTTTGTAAAAGTATCCTTTAAGTAACAATGCAGACAGAGCAGAATTTTTCAGCTAAAGATTATTTTTCAAACCTTTCAACCAGATGCCTGAGAGGTTTCTGCTTGTTTTCCAAAATTATATTTAACTTTGCATTTGTCTGGAGACAACATCTTTTCAGATATTTGTTTGTCTGGTTGGTTTCCCAGAATTCCTCTTTGTTGTGGCCTTCAGATACTTTTTTTACTTTCTTGCTTCTACTTCATGACTTTTCCAGGCTGAACACTTAGCTTGTTAGCTCTTCTCTGCCCCTTTCCTTTCATTTTACATTTTTTTCCTGCATAAAAGAAAAAATAAAGAGTTGTCAGCCTAACCCAACTGTGGACCCATCACTTCTCCCTTTCTTTTTCTTACTCATATTCTTTATAGCTATTTTTAGTATTTTTTTTTCTAAGTAAGTGACCTTTCTTAGTTGGTCAGATTTTTCCAGTCTGTAAATTATTCCTAGAGAAATCTTTCAGGTCACTAGGGCACCGCTGCATGCATTATATAATTTACTAAGGGAACCCTTGTGGCCAGAAGGAGTTAACTAGTCCTCCACCCCCACCTCCACCATACACTTACTCTGCTAATTACTAGGGGAGCAAACCCAAGCCACCCGCAAAGTGAAAGTCCTAAGGAGTCAGAATTTTCTCTTGCCTGATAAAAGCTTTTACTCTTCTTTCTCCCCGGGGCAGATGGCTGGGAGAGAGAGGGGAAAGGAACTTCCAGGCCTTCTTCCCAAAGACATCGCTCTCTCCCTCTGCTGTCGTCTTCTTCACTTTCATTTCCCCGCCCCCACTGGAA